TTGCAGTCCTACTCTCTCTCTCTCTGTCTGTCTCTCTCTCTCTCTCTCTCTCTATATATATATATATATAAAACAATGCCTAATCGGTGACCATTGGTCCCCTATAATCCTCTTTTTCTTATGTTAATTGAGAGCTGAGTTGATGAGATAACAACCTGTTCAGTGACCTGGCAGGGTTGTGTTATCCCTCCTCTAAACTATTACAGATAAGCTTTAAAGAGGATGAAACAAACGATATATTTATAGTTGGGTAACATTTCATCATTGCATGCTATCAGGCTACAATACATCACTTGGGACACATTAACTTATTTGCCCGAGCACTGTTCTTGCAGACCAACTATGTCATTCCATTATTGCTTATGATTTATAAATTATATTATGTACTCGAATTTATCATCTGAACAGATCGTTCACGGTAATCTGCGTGCCAGCAACGTCCTGTTGTCGAAAAATAAGATTTGTAAAATAGCAGACTACGGTTTGACTGGCATCACCCAGACATCAAAGGTAAGTATACAATGAAATCTCTCCTGAATTAAAAGTGTTTTAGATGGTGTCGAAATGTATATATTTATCAACGTGTTTTATACATTTCTGAACAATTACGACAAGAATAATATACGTTAGTGGCGTTTTAGCTTTAGCAAAATAGTATCAGAACCCTTGAACTTGTAGCTCTGATATCATCTATGTTCATTATTATACTTGTGATTTCAAATTAATTCCAAGCTCTTTATGATTTCCCTATTTTAACATATTGTCTTGCATTGTTTTTCGACTGATAATTTGAAAATGTTGCCCACCTTAAGCATACTCAATAGCATCCCAGAATGCTAGTCTAAAGTGACAACAGAACGAGGGTTACATTTTGATCCCTTGCTGTCGAAAAATTAAATAGCTCTTTGATTTCTTGGAACAAAGTAAACTAATATATGAAATATAATACACCATAAATCAATGTGCATTCGACCTTATTCGTCCATTCTTCTTTCGTTCTTTCATGGATAAGAATAACATGCCGAACAATTGTTCCTTTCTTACTGTATCGAGATTCATATAACCATACTTGAAATTGCATACATTACACATGCTTACAGTCTAATTACATTGTAATTCAATATATTATATTATTTCATATTACTTAATTAAGTATCATTCTCATTTCCTCTCTGGAAACACAACAATATTGCATCACCCTTTTATTCAATCTAAAACTTACCCAATCGAGAGATGGCGCTACATGATAAAGCTGAAATAACGGGCTGATTACCAGTATGTTACAAATGTTTATTCCAATCGTTCCCTATGTTTATAGTCGCTTAAGGAAACAAAAAGGAACTGATCCCAATATTTTCGTTCGAATATTGTCAAAAAGTTGAATATATTGAAATATTGCACTGGTCAATTGTACCATCTACAACGATCGTTTTGCCTAGAGGAACCGTGGTTTGAAATAGTAAAATCGTACTCCCCAAACTGGATATGATCTCTCTCTGGGGTGACTGTCCTTTGTTGTCCGGCGGGGGGAGGGGGAGGGGTAATTGTTCTCGGGGGGGGGGGGGATGATTGTCCAGAGGGTAATTGTCTTAATACACATCTTGAAGTTGTTGAATTTCCACAAGTTATGAATGTTGAAAATCAAGTATTGTGGTACAATAGTAATATTACACATGAGAGCAAACCTCTCTTTTTTAAAGAATGGTTTAGAAAAGGCATTATAACAATGAATGACATTGTAGAAAATGGACGTTTTCGGCCAAGAGAACATATTTGTAGAGTGCTTGGCTAAAATTCTTTGCTAGTTGATTTTATGTATACGAAGCTTAAAAATGCGATCCCAAAAATGTGGATCGAAAGAATTCAAGATGTTAATTACGCACATGACGATAAAACAAATTCACAATTCGAAGGCGACTTATACGAAATAAGAACACTTGATTTTATAAGACTATCTTCAATGAAATCTAGCCATTTCTATAGCCTATTGTGTGACTTTAAGAAAAGAGAACCAGCTGTATTAACATTTTGGGAAGGTAAACTGAACCTTGTCATTGATTTTGATTGGAGAGATACATTAAAATTTAAGTTTAAGACATTGAAAAACAATAAAATAAAACAACTCAACTTTAAGACATTTCATAGGATTTTACCCTTTAGATACAATCTGTGCAAATGGAAAATTGTAAATGAAAACCTTTGCATTTTTTGTAAAACAGCAGAATCTTTCGTTCATGTTCTTTTAGAGTGCCCGAGCGTAAAGCTTTTCTGGAAACGTATTGTGGAATTGATTGAATTGAACTTTAAAGAAAAAATTATATTAAACGAAGAATTATTAATTGCTGGTTTTGATTTCAAACATGCAAATGGAGCAGATATAAATACAATCGTTGCATATGCTCAATACGCAATCTATTTGATGTATATGTTAAATTATTTTCAAGGTAAACCATACAACAGCTTTTTCATATGGCATGTTTTTAAATACGAGTTACTCTTGGATAACATCTCGGATGTTGTTTCAGGGGCTCTCGGGACATAGTATTTTTTTGGAGAGTTTTTGAGAGCTTTTGAAATAGCATCTGGGAACTAAGGAAAATCTTCGGGGATATTTTATATCACTGAAGATTTTCTCTTAATAGTTTAAGAAAATACTTAAAGTGAATGTAAAATTTTGTTATGATGTAATGATTTGTGTGTTGGTTATTTTTGTAAATGAATAAAGTACCTCTGACAAGAGGAAAATAAAAAAAAAAATCTTGAAGTTGTTTCTCGACTTAAAATCAATAATCGGGTCAGTCACCGGTGAGGTAGTTTTTTGCTGCAAAGTTAAAACTTTTGAGTGCGCACACTATGTGTGTGTGTGTGTGCGTGTGCGCGCGTGTGTGTATGTGCATGTGTCTCCCTATTTTTCTCTCTCTCTCTCTCTCTCTCTCTCTTTCATTCTTTCACATTATTCCCTTTATTCGACATAGAGCTAAATCTAAGTCAAACGATTGAACATTTAGGTTTGCTTAAATTTCTCTCTCCACACCCACTTTTTCGGGGGGGGGGGGTTAGGTGACAACTGCATTCAATCAATTACATGTGTGCAAGTCTATGTGATGAATATGAGTTAACATCCTTCTGTCTCTCGACAGAAGATACACAATACCATAAATCGATTCTGAATCTATGTTATGTGTTGGACCTATGTTTAACATTACATTATAAACTGCTCAATTGGTTGATACTCATACCCCAATTCAATCTGACTTTATGTACAATCATTTTGAAATATTTTACTCATGAGTTTACTTTGATTTGATTTATAATGGGACATAATTTAGTCGAAGCAAGTTTGTTATATATTGGTTTACGTATCAGACTTGAAGTGTCTTGTCTTGACTATCTGTACATTATTGCTACCATTAAAAAGAAAAAAAGTACACAAATTAAAAAACTGTCTTATCTCATACATACACATATATAAAGTGCACTCCACGAAAAAAAAAAATTATCGATGTTTTATCATAACTTAAGAACAATTATAATTAATAAATGGCCGGCAGCCAGTGAAAACGAATTCGCTAAATATAATTATGGAAATGCAAGCATTGCTTTCAACAAACAGAACTTTATTATTTCTAGCACATATTCCCTGATTGAGGTGTCATAAGTAAGTGCCGACAGTGAACTTTCTATGAATGTGACTTTTTTTGAAATTCAGATATCACTCCTCAAATGATTTTTTGGTACTCTTTGATCAAATTGATTTTATTTTGTTCACTCATGTGTGGTATATGCATCAAGCATCATATCAGTTACATCAAATGAAAGAAGAGTGTCATTTACTTATTACAATCGTGATGAAGTTCTGATGAAACATCGATAATTCTCGGTTTCTTTTTGTATAATGGGACGCACTGTATTTATGCTTGTAATCTTGCTTGTATTTGAAATCCAACCTCCAGTTTTGGTTACAATAAAGAGATAATAACAATCTATTAACATTGATATATATATATATATATATATAATAGTTTATATTTTGTTTTCAGATGATACATCGATGGCTCTCACCTGAGGCCATGCTGACCGGTACATGTTCGACAGAGAGTGATGTTTGGTCATATGGGGTTCTTCTTTGGGAGCTTGTTACCCTTGGTGAGAATACCAAGGAAATGTCATTCCCCTTCCTTAACATTTTCTTCTTCCTTTCAGTTTACTTCTTCCAATCCGTTTTCATTTCCTTTTCTTTTCCAAGTACACTAGTCTCATCCTGGTTGATTGGCATGTTAACCTCCACACCGTTTTCCTATCGTTATGACCATATACCCTACCGAAGGAAGGATGGTTTGTAGTTAAGATGGTCCTACATTATGCGTATCGGAAAGGTCGGGGTAGGGTTAGGGTTTGGGTGTATGATTAAGATTATGTTTGGTAAGAGTTTGAATTTTCGTTACGATAGGCCTGATAGCCCTTGTCTATTGATGATTAATGTACCACACACTAACATTTATTTAGTATCAATGTTATGTAGCACAATCGGGATGTAACTTCCCTTGTCTGTTTTCCTCCCCGTCCCTACTCCATAGGAATCGACGTGTTGCCAAACTGAACATTCATATCTAATAGAGCTTCTCAAGTTGTGTCTAGGGCACCTACCCATACCCAACACCAAATTATCAAATTGGTATCCCTATCTAGATTGAAGGAGTTAGATATGTGGCACACAGGGTCTTGTTATAGCCTTGTTAGAACAGTTATGACTTTTCTTTGCCAAAACAATTTGAGCCCCTGCAAGAATTATCATCATTTATATATTTTGTTTATGTTTACGCTGCTCTTGCAAAGCTATGACAAATGTATGATTTTCTCATATCTGATATAATCTTACATTAATCCAAAATGTGTCTTTTGAACTTCTCCAAGGTGAATTTCTATTTTCATCTTGAATTTTCTTCTAGAAAATGATATTTCAGTTTCGTTGTTATTCATCAGGTGCTCAACCATATCCAGGTGTAAGTGACAGCGAACTGAAAGAACGAATCACGAATGGATATATAATGAGAAGGCCGCTACATTGTGGTGAAGATCTGTAAGTAGCCATCTCCGCATCCTAACACCTTCATTTTTTGGTTTGTTCTTTACTTTATATATTGACTTTTGATTTTCGTTTTAGGTAACGTGTGTCTAATTATATATAATTTTTGGTTTGTTCTTTACTTTATATATTGACTTTTGATTTTCGTTTTAGGTAACGTGTGTCTAATTATATATAATAACTAGAACCCAGCTTGTTATTCTAATTGATGAATGAAAATAAAGTAATATATTATACATTAAGATATATAATTTATGTTTCCTCTAAATAATACAAAAAGCCTAGGATGATGCTATTTATGGTAAATACTGTACTGCTACATTGATGGCCGCACTCGACACATATCACTGTACAAGTCAGGTGTAAATCTATCATAAGTTATGTTTCTATAATAAAAACCCACAATGTGTATGTGTGGAAACAGAAGCAACATGAGTTGAAAAAAAGCAATTGGATTAAACCAGTTATATTTGGTGCGGGTTATGTTTAAATCGTATCTGGTGTGGTTATTTGTCATGTGTTTCTATCTCTTAGACGAAAATAGCTTCTGTCACATTGAGCTCTATCTCTCTCTCTCTTTCTCTCTAAAGCCCTTCAACCAGTGTTGAAGACTCTATTGGAAAATCCATCTACTTAGGTTTGAGCTATCTGGCAGAAAGCGAAACTTTTAATTTAATGATGTATAGGAGTAAGAACCTTAAAGGGAGACACTGTTATCTGTATTGCTAAGAATATTTGTTGACTATTTAGAGGTAACAGTAAAGCATGCATTCATGATTTATTCAGGGAAAAGCCGTTTGTCCTGTCAAAGTATTTTTAAAATAAACGATTCTCAGTTGTATCTAAAGATACACATAAGCTGGGTGACAAATTAAATCACGAGGGATGAGAACGGTAAATCTTGTAGTTACTGCAGTCGGAAATGTTCACTATAACAACAATTGATTCATTTGTACCCGATATCGGTGGGAGGGGGAGGGGACATGCATGTTTGTCTGAAAAAAGGCTTCACTATATTGGGCAAAATGTATCAAAAAGTAAAGTTAAAATGTTCTCTAAATTGGATAGAAATTACCTAAATATAACTGGTTTCATCCCCAAAACATGAATGTTAATGTTTTCTTGTTTCACCCAATATTGGCTAATTTCACACTTGTTCTATGTTTCAGTTAGATATTGAGAATAGTACATAAGGAATAAATAAGATCGGCACATTAACCCTGATTGGGAGAAACATGCAAAGTAGCGGGGACAAAGTGGCTTGTTAATGACTCATGATACCGTAATAAAAAAATAAAAAAGCGAGGTCTAATTTTCAGTGTCTTTTTACACACAAAAATGTTTATAACAAAACTATTAGCTAAAGATTGTTTCTTTAGCTGTTAGTTTATATATTTGTATAGTGATGGGTTGGTTGGGGGTGGAGGTAGGGGGGGGGGGGGGGGGGGGGCTCAGCACTTAAACAGAACATGTGCGCCCTGAGTGTACGAGCTTTTTTCGTGTTACTGGTTTACAGTATTGGGTGGGAATACATTAAAAATAAAACACTTAAACAACCTGCGTTTGGTGTGTCAAATAATCTTTTGAACTACTAAACTAAAGCATTGATACTTTTCTGTGAATCTTTATGGACAGGTTCAACATAATTTCAGACTGTTGGAAGACGGACATAAAGCAACGCAGCACCTTTCATGACATGCAAATCAAAATTGGTTGGATTCTCGAGGGTTCAAATGTAAGTCTAATAAAACATACTTCGGGCGGGATAATACTACTACTACAATAATAATGATAGCTTGCCTTTTCTACAGTATTATTGGGGATTCTGGAGTATTTGCATTTATTTTCAATATGTGCAGCACTTAAATTCATTCAACATCAATATATATTTGTGTTTTAGGGCTATTAATTTATTCTTTCCTATTTTTTGATGGGGCGGGGGTGGTTTTCTGTTGCTTAAACCTCCCCCCTCCCCCCCCCCCCTTTTGAACTGATACCGCTACTAGGCCATAATTGGGAAAAAATCAAATAGAAGAGAGACAGTTGTGATACAAGGTCAATTAATGGAACTCCTAAAGATCTCCCACAAATAATCTCCATGAGTGGGAGCTATTCAAGATGTATGAGCTTTCGCTTCCGTTTGTTACAACTGTCTTCAATCTGCCTGCTTTGACTTGCAAGTGTGCATATCAACACTCCCACACATATACTAATATACATTAGTTTTAGGCATCTCGAAATGAAACGAAATTCATGACCGTTGGTATCATATTTTAAATGAATCGTATTCGTTGCAACTTGTATGAAAAAATAATATCTGTCTTTCTTTCCTTCTTTCCCCCTTCCTTGTTAGTTTATTTGTTCAGGACACCACTAAATAGAAATACTACTAGTGGGGCTTATTTATAGCACTTTACGTACCATTTCATGAGTGACTTTCTATTATATATCAGAAGGAATACAATTCCAACAATCACTTCATATTTTCAACCGTTTAAGCCCTTTTTGGCATATTTTTTATTTATCTAATCGCGGTTTTATAATTGGAAAATGTTTTAGAAAAATTCACCAATAGTTTCATAATGTAATTTTATATTGAAATTTTGTGATGATTCTCAAGTACTTTCCTATTATTATTATACCAACGATAATCTAACATTCCTTTTCTTTTAATTCTGCCTATTGATGACAAATATATATTTATCTCCTTTTTTATTGCCAGGATTATCTCTCCCTGAACAGAATGAGTGACGAGGATATTTACACTGACATACCTGACTTGGAATAGGCGTCAAATGGTTAAAATCCATGTAACTTATTTTATATTTTTTCAGACATAATTTTCTTAGCACACATAACAGTTTGCTTCAAAATGAAGTTTGATTCCATGTATATGACTATCATTTTAAATTATTAAAATCAGTAACAAAAACAATAGTAACGTTTAATTAGCCTACTACTATTAATAGAAGTTATTTTATCTAAAAACGTAATTCCAATTGTAAATACAATCCATTACTAATTGTTTTCGTGCTACGATAATGATATTTTGTTAATGTATGCCACTCTAAACAAATATAATTTCAGTTTATTATTCCATTTCAGATGAAATATATGAAGGCTTTGAATGCTTTTGAACTATTTATTTTCAGCATCCTTGTCATACTGCTCGTCTTTGTTCTAAAGCTATATCTTTAATCTTATTGTAATTTACCGGAATAAAACAGGTCACTTAGTAAGGCTTTTTACATATTGGTAGGTATAAAATAATGTTTACATTAACCCCTGTTCATTAAATTCATAATATCTGGTGTGATTTTTGTCAACGTTTATTTTGTTGTTTTAAAGTGATGTCGTCATCTTTTGTTTGAATATTCACTTTCGTTAAGTAGGATCGTATCAATTCTAAGATTTCTTATATAAAAATGTTAATATAGATTCAATGAGTTTCAATTGTCTTATGAAACATTTCACTCTTCCAAATAATTTCTTAGAACCAATTAATTATCAGTTTTGTATTTTGTGTAACTTGCACGATCATTTTTCTATTGACCTTAACTGGTACTAATACCAATATTTGTTTGGTCGAATGGGATACTTTTTGCCAACAAATGTATAAATGTTTGTATGTTGTTATTCTGTATAATAATGTTCATTCTTACTCTGATTTTGTATATTGTACATTTTGATCTTCTAATTATCTACAAAACATTATTATAATTCATCCATCCGGCTGGAAACATACGTTTGAATTTAATATGAAATCTTGAATCTTGAACAACTTATTTTGATGATAATAATAATGATAATACCTAACATAAAAATTAGAAGAAGATGAAGAAGAAGAAGAAAACAAAAGAAGAAGAAGAAGAAGAAGAAGAAGAAGAAGAAGAAGAAGAAGAAGAAAAGCAATCGTAGGAATATCAGTGAATAATAATAATATTGATCATGGCAATAATAATAATTCATAACATTACTATATACGGCATATTAAAAGTTTCATATACATTTTTAATGCATTACAATCAGGCGAATACTGTTAATTCTGTTTGTGGTTTTTATACAATTTATTGTATTCATTAACAAAAATGGTACTTGTCGAAATACAGTTGAGAATTTCGAATTAATCAAGTTAATTACTTCATAGAAAATATGCAATAAAAGAAAGTGTTAAAATATATTCAGCAATGCATGAAATAAATCGGCCCATTTACTATGACAAAGAAACACGCTCTATTTATAATATATATGTATACATATGGTTCTCTCTTAGTCTAGTTGTTTTTCAGTCTTCGTGATACTACCTATCTCAATATATCAATCATTTATTTGATTTACATCAATGAGGTTCCTTTGACATGAAAGCAGCTATGAATGTTTACGTGTATGTAAATAATATTTGTTTATGATGTATACAGGTGAGTGATTGCATGTTGGGTCAATAAATTTGGACGTGCGACTCCTCTTTATTCCGTTTTTGCAATGGATATGAGGGACTTTACCTTTGATTAATCACAATTGTTACTACACTGTCGCTCATATCGGTGGAATATTTTTGTTTTACCCTAATTTATGGAATTATTTTAAAAATAATTTAAAAATAATAGATCTAGATAAAAGTATACATTCTCAGATTTTATTGAATAATAATGTTTTAATGTGTGTTTTGCGTGACTGCTAAAGCATGTGTATGCTTCTATGCTTATCAAATAGGGGACCTACGTCCTTAAGTCATAAATGACAGTAATGAGGATTAATGCCCCACAAAAGGGCACTAATATAGCACATCGACACGGTTTCGATCCTGGGGCCGCACAGTTACGAGGCCATTGCTTTGTCACTGAACCATGACTGTACGCAGCGGGGGCTAGGGTAGGGGGCAGTTTTCATCAATTAAAAAACAAACAGAAAATGCAATAATTTTTCAATAATTTATTGCATTTTACCCCGGTTCCCAACATAACAAAATCCTCTGTGTGCCCATGCCTTGAGCCATAATGTTTCTTCATGGACAATTCAATTTATTGTCGGTTTCGCTATTATTGTACATATATCGAAACCCATCAGCCTCAATTGGTATATACAAGGACAAGCAGTGACGTATTAATATGGTGCGAGTAAAGAGAGGGATGGATCTATTTGCGCTGGAAGTGGGATTTGCACACACAAAAACATACACATTTTAGGACGTTCTCTGAGAGCATTTTCAAAAACAAACCTTTTCACTAATATTACAGTCGCCTATATTTTGTGTACACATATAATGTATTAAACCACCCCGAAACTGCCCCCGGGCTTTCTATTGGCTAACGATTAACCAGTATGACGAAAAATAAGAATAAGGTTAAACGAGCTCATACGGAGACCAGGTCAGAATTGTAAAAGTAATATATTAAGCTTCTTTTAAATATGGTATTACACATTCAACTATGTCGGGGGTATGTATACCCCACCTCCATGACCTACTCCCGTGGGGTCGTGCATTATATCAGATACTTAACAGACAAGGTTAAATTGTAAATAATAATTTTGGTAAACATTAAAGTACTCAAAACCATCATTTTACTTCCATAAAGGAAATTGATACTTGTCATTTAGTTCCACATGCCAGTCTCTGATACAATGATTGCGACAAACGTTTGTTTTATTTCATAATTTGTATTACCAATTTACTTGTCATGCGCAAACTCTTGACGTCTTAGGCAAATTAAAGTGTTGGTATAATAATAACACTTAATTCAAACATTTTATACACTTCCTCATTTCGATCTTCCACAAAGTACAATATTGTGTTGCGTCTTTTCAAGTTACTTCATTCTAAATTGTACATGAATTATTTCAATATTTTGATATGTACATCGAACTATAGTTTGTTGATAATGTGAACATGAAATTTCAATAAAGTACCGTATACAACTCTGGTGTAAAATTATTTGTAATAACCACTTATTAAGTATTCCGGTGTGAAGGATAACTATTTCTATCTTAAATGTTTTATAGTGATTGCCTTATTGGTTAACATCTTTAATCGTGAATAGTACACACACAATAAAGTTATATAAATGTAACTGATTTCGTTATTATTGTTTATGATACAAATATAATGTTTAAATTTTATCAGATTCCGAAAAGTGTGTGGAACATGATATTGAAATAAACAACCCCCCCCCAAAAAAAAAAAAAAAAATAATAAATAAATAAAAATCATTCATAGTGTTTGTATTACGTACAGAAAAAGAATGTGAAACATAATAGTAAAATACACACAAACCAAATTTAATCTTTGTTTTATGCACGTACACTTAAAATTCTTATAATTCGTAGCATTACTATAATTAAAGTATTTTGTATATGCCGAGAAAAGAAGTGTAACATAACAGTAAACATTAAACGAACATTATCTTTTTTAATCGATTAGAGGAATGAGGTAACAAATGAACATTTTAAATTTGTTTGTGTACAGTTACGTTTACCAACACATCATCATCCGATCAGTTTATTCGTTAACAAAGTTTTGAATATCCGTACTAATTCATATTATTGCATAATATGATTAACATACAATTCGTACATTGTGTTCGTTACTGAACATACTGATAATAATGATAATGTGGTAGTTAACATTGATTTTTCTAAATGACACTTACATTCCCATTATTTAGAGATAAGTTGTAAACACATCATCAAGACCATCAGTGTGATCCTTAACAATACTTCGCCTATCTGTACTAATTTCACAATAAGTTGACGCACCTTCGGTGTTCACATAAGTAGGCTCCTCGTTCAGATTAGAGTGTGTCTTTACTTGCTTGCGGACGAGAGTGGGGCTAACGTTAAGAACATCATCATCATGATCATCAACTGAGGTGGTTGGATTTGAGACCTGTTGGGTAGTACTAGCTCGGGATTCGTACTTTAGTATAGGTTTCATGGCCATGTAGGTATGGGTTGCTTCGGGAACATCTGGAATTACATTTGTGAGGTCTGTTTGGTCAGTGTAATCCTTAACGACATTTCGAATATCTGTACTCATTTTACAATAAGTTGGCCCACCTTAGGTGTTAACATAAGTAAGTTCCTCCTCCATATTGGAGTGTGCCTTCACTTGCTTGCGGCCGAGAGAGGGGCTAACGAAAAGTACAGCATCATCATGATCGCCAACTGAGGTGGTGGGATAGGAGACCTGTTGGGTATTACTAGCTGAGGATTTACACTTTATAGGTTTCAGGGCCATATAGGTATGGGGTGCTTCGGAAACCTCGGGAATTGCGTATGTAGGGTCTGATAGGTCAAAGGTCATGTCCAAAGGCTGTAAAACGAAAGAGAAATATAAAGGACAATATTGTGAATGGTAGTAAAATAACAAACCGTATTTACTTGATGAATACACAAGATGTAGGTTGCACACATCGTCGTTTAAAATCAGTTAAAACAATCAAAATTCGACCAAAATAAACCGACTATTAAACAAACAATTAAAATGACCAAACACTGTAAAACTATCAACCACTGAAAATCCTAGATTGATTTATATCATAATGTGAAGACATAACAATAACCTCAATGCATCATCCGAGCATGACTTTTTTAGACTTTAAACTGAGTTTTGAATTTTCCGTAATGGGTCCTTATTCTTAACAATTCTTGCGAGTGTTTTGCTCACTAAATATCTGAAGTATTCAAACATTCAAATGAAAGGTTATCGATAATTTTATTTCACCTTATCACCGCTTGTTGATGTTGGCTTGCTGGTGTGAGATGTT